AAAAAAAAAGAAATATTTGGTCCATGTCTCTATCTCTGCCCTGACTTTGAAGCAGAATTAACCATTCCCCATTTCTTCATACCTTGCTCTGTCACTTTGAAACTGTTATTCGTACTGCAGGTGTCTTGTCTCTTTTGAAGACAGGAACGGTGTGTCCACCTAACACAACGGGAGACATATGGCAATTTGTTCCTAAATGTACCTTGAGTAAGGACTTAATGATTGTATAGAGCAACTTTTTACCGAAACCCCTGTAGAGGGTTCAAGTTTCCCACCTAGCAACATGGCACACGGGTGAAAAAGGAGACAAAGAGAAAAGGATCTGCGGTTCCTAGGGCTCTGGGATGACCCAGTGCTCTTGGTGGAACTAAGGACCAAGAGTCAGAATGCTCACGGCTTTTATTGGTATCAATTAGGGAGCAGGGCTCTCAGCAGAGTGCATGGGAGGGGAGACTTGGCAGGCATGGCACGCAAAGAGAAACAAAGTATTCTTGCACCAGGCGCAGAGGCCCTCCAGTTAGTGATGCAGTGGATAACTTGATGTATGTAAGGCTGGCACCTTTACTGCTAGGAAGGTATAATTCTTTTTGAATCTCATGGCCTCATCTGGGGTGTTACATTTTAGCCCTGGAATTTCACAGGCTCTTGTTGGAACCTGTATTCCAGCCATCACTGGAGGGCAGTTCTAACCCACTTTGCTGCAGTGATACACCTTGGTGCCTCACCTGGACTTGATCACATTCTTTTGGCCAATTAAGGAGACATCTGCTTCTATATAGCCAGCTCTGCATATCTCAGGAAATAGGATTGAAGTAAAGGTCAGGTAAAGATGGAGGCAAGGGGCTTCATTTCTCAAGGGACTGCAGCATTTTGGTCTCCCACAACTTTTATCATTTTTAATCATTATATAATCAAGCAAGTATAAACTGATAACTTCCGTTATATACATAGTCGGTTTATATAGGTATATCATCATTAGATGCCTAAATTTATTTGATATGATTTCTGAGCCTCACCTTATATGATTGAAGGTAAGGGGGTCAGAATGGAAAACTGAGCAGAATATAAAAATTAGTCAAGTAATAATTTGAGGTTAAAAATACTGCTGTTGTTTAAAATTATTTTAAAAACAAATAGCACATGTATAAAAATATCAAAGGAGGTTAGCATAACCCTGTGCCAGGATGAGATGTTGATTCATGAACCATTCCATGGTTTTGCTAGAAAATTACTATTTTTATTAGAAAATTACTATTTTGTACTAGTACAATAATTGATTCAGGCAAAGATCATTAGTAGATTCTAAAATATGTGATACTCACACCATTTTGTGGTATTACCTGACAGATTACTTCTTAGCTAGGAAATAAAAGGAATCTTTACATCGAAGACCTCTGCCAAATGCCACCTTACCCAAGTGATTAAACTCAGTGTCACCAGTGATGATTTTAGAAGATCTTGCTTGCTTACTTACATGATTCGATGAAGGTGTACCACATAACAGATATAGTACCCTTACCAAAAAAGTTTTGTTTCAGTGTAAAGAGAGGAAACTGGAATGTTATACAAGGAAACTGGCCTGGATTCTTATTGTCATAAACATTTTAAAAACAGGGGAAATGGCTGTTCTAATTTAAGGTAGAATAAAGAGACATGAAAACCAAATATAATCCATGATCCTTTAGTGTATTATACATTTGTGGGTTAAAATTGATGTTTATTAAAATATATTTTAGATATGATTGGAAAATTTTAAGTGTGAATTATATATTAGATAATATTTTTATCAATGTTGAATTTCATAGGTGTTATGATGGTCTTGTGGTCATAAAGAGAAGGTCTTTAGTGTACTTTATTCATAGATATTTGAAAACATTTTATTCCTTTGAAATAACAAAATCCAAATGAAAAAAATCACACATCAGGGTAGTGGAAATTGACTCAGTGGAAAGTGAGCGTATGGTAAATGGGGCAAAATATATTAAATAAATATCAGTGAGTATTCATTGTACTATTTCAGTTTTTAAGAGTAAAATATTTTAAATAAAAAGCTGAGAGAAGGAGAAAAAGACATCCCTAAATTATTGAGGAATTCTGTCCAGCCGAAGGCCTTCTGTTTTCCTTATCCTTTGCCTTTTTCTTTTTTTCTCTCACTGTTATGCTTCATTTTCTGGTCTCTCAAGATTGTGCTAATATGTATTGATTTACTTGTTCTTATGCCTTTTGTGATTTAGCAGCTGAAAAACATAAGAGATTAGGTGTTTTTCTAAGTTTATGGATTATTATTTTTATCCATTCTGTTCTTGTTCCTCCCAGTTGATATCTTCATCCTCACAAAGCTTTGGTAAAAATCTAAAATAAATATGACATGCCAAGTACTCATTCTGGTTCTGGAAAAGCTGGTGGGTTAATTGAAAGCCCGACCATGGGCATGAACTTATCCTGTATCCCTGAACTTCTCAAACTATCCCATTTCCCCAGCCCAGAAAGGATCATTTTAAAAATCATATAAGTTGGTGTTCTGTCTTTTTGTCACTTTTCACCATCCTAAGATTTCCCTTTTCTTTAGATAGGTGAAAATGGTGATCCCAAAGCCTTCTTAATAGAGATTTCATGGACAGAAACGTACCCCCAGACACCTCCAATTATATCTATGAACGCTTTTTTTAACAATACCATGTGAGTAGTTTTATTTCATTGTTTTTTTCATTTTACTCTCTGTTTACTTTCCTCCTAATAATATGTTTGGCATTTGTAGATCATCAGCTGTAAAGCAGAGTATATTAGCCAAGTTACAGGAAGCAGTGGAAGTTAACCTTGGAACTGCTATGACCTATACTTTGTTTGAATATGCCAAAGACAATAAAGAGCAGTTCATGGAAAATCACCATCCTATTAATTCTACAGTGAGTATGTGATTGTTTTTTTTTTTTTTTTACCAGATCTTTTGTTGTTTTGGCTTTGGTCTGCTACTAATTAATTTTGGCTAGTTAATATATTTCTAAAATTGAAGATACTATATTTAAAATGAGTTACATCTACACCAAGTAAGAACATTGAATTTTTTATTTCTTCAGTTTAACATAGGAAGTGAAATTATATCCTCTAGATTTTTACCCTTTATCAAGGCCTAGAATACTTCTCATGCCCATAAAAACTGAGGACCTATATGACCTAATATCTTTTAAATTTTACTTTATCTTTTCATAAAGTTTAAGTAGCTAAAGGATTTATGTAGTGCTAAAATATGTATGAAATTGCTTTCTCCATGAGGCTTGTTTTGTTGTAAATACTGTTGCCATTGTTCAAAATCAAGGTATTAAAGCATAAGAAGACTTTGATGAGTAGAAAAAATAATTGCTTTATTTCTAGGAGAATTTTAGCATAATCATCTTTTATGACTTTACACATCTCATGCACCAAGTTCTGCACTAAAAAACTTTAATTGAGTCAACATTAATTGAGTTTTGTCTTGTGAACTGAACTGTAGCTTTCAGTAGCAAAGACTGTTGTCTTTTGAGTGGTCCTGACTTCCACATTCTCAATGGAATATAGGGTAGAAAACTGAGAGACAGATGAAACAGTAGAAGGTAGTAACCAAGACCATAGGATGAAAGCCAGCCTCCCTGGGTTGAAGTCCTCCTTACACCGCTTGTTAACTCTGTGACTTTGGGCAAGTTTCTTAATCTCTCTTTGTCTCTGCTCAGTTCCTCATTAGTGAAATGTGAGTTACAATAGCATCTGCCTTATACAATTGTAGTGAAGATCAAGTGGGTGATATATGTAAAACAATTATAGTAATGCTTGTTACCTAGTAAGCATTTTAAATTTAAGCTATCATACAAATTGACTACATGAGCTGAACTGTTTTAAAGATTTTCCTTTGGGGACCAAAATGTTCAGGTAGGTACATATGACTTTTCTAAAGATAAGCTTACATTTCTAAATACAAGTTAACTGAATTTTAAAGCCGTCTTGGAACCTCAGCTCTTCAACATAATGGAGGTAATCAGCTCTTCCTCCTTAACATTCTGTTATTAACTGTCTCACCTAAATGTCCTTTGAGGGGCTGGGGATATAGCTCAGTGGCATAAGCGCCAGCCTGGCAAGTGCAAGGTCCTGAGTTTGATTCCTGGTACCAAAAACAAAAAAAGAGAACATTAAATGTCCTTTAATATAAACTTTTGAAAGTGCAAAACCCAACAGTATGCTAAGGGCAACTGATTTAATAAATGTCTTGTATTTCGTAAATCTAGAGGTTATCAACCTATTTTAGGACGTTTAGTGTAATTCAGTAAGTTTTAAGACATGAGTCTAAGAACCATTTCTTTCTCTTTAGACATCCATAAGCAATATCATCTCAGTTGAGACTCCTAGTATAGCCCCATCAAGTAAGAAAAAAGAGAAAAAAGAGCAACTTTCAAAAGCTCAGAAACGTAAACTGGCAGATAAAACAGGTTTGTGGGGGTTTTTTCCTTTATAATGCAAATAAATGGGTTGCTTTTTAGTATGATGTGAATGCTTAATCTATTTCGATTTAGAAGATTAATTCTCTGCTTTTTATTGTTGGAACATTTGGATCAGGAGACCTCTTGAATCATAGTATAGAAATACTGTGAATGGGGCTGGAGATTTAGTTCAGCGGCACAGTGCCTGTCTGGCAACTGCAAGGTCGTGAGTTCAATTCCTGGTACCGGAAAAAAAAAACAAAAAACAAAACAAAACAAAAATAAATAAATACATAAATGGAAATATTGTGAATGTTTACTGTTTCTTTATCACAAGATATAATCATTCAAAAACAAGACAAATGAGTGGCAAAGCAAGTGTAAATGAGTCTTGAGATTAGGAACACTAGAAGAGCACACAAAGACCCGCGTCCTGTTTGTACACTCTTCACATACCTAGGATTGTCTTTGTTTACCTCTGTGGTGGGTATGTGTATTATTAAAAATTGTGTGAAATGTAGCTTTCATTTGAAATGAAGTCTAGTATACCATTAGATCTTAGCACAGTAAATTTTTTCTGTAAAATAAACTTTTTTGGGAGGGGGGTTTACAACAAAAGAGAGGAATAGAATTATTATGTGTCCAAATGAGAGTCCTTTAGAAAATGATTGTAAACTCCAGTTCATTATCAACAGTGTTTGATCCCTTTTCTTTAATTTGGAAATATGAATATGTATATCAGTCTGTAAATTTTTCCCTGTTAGGGAAAATGAGGATATTGTGTGTGCACATGTGCATTTATACTTCAATATGTGTGTATGTGCTACTGATAAAAGATTATGAACTGCCTTTTGCCAAATGAACTAACACTTACATTTGAGTGGATGGGTTTTAAACTGACTACCTTCTCAGCCTTTCAAGGCAACTGATAGTCCCCATTTTCCTAACCTTGAATGAGAATGACTTGGGGCAATCTTTACAATTCAGAGTTGCATATTGAAATGATGACATGCTGAAATGACACTATTGTGAATAAATCAGGGTAGATAAAATTGTTAAAACTAAAAAAATAAAATGACGTTTCCTTTATAAAGGGATACTAGGGCTGATGGTCTGTGTGTGATGTCTGTGACAGAATGAAAAAGAAAGCAGGGGCTGGGGATTTAGCTCAGCGGCAAAAGCGCCTGCCTGGCAAGCGCAAGGTTGTGAGTTCGGTTCCCGGTACCGGAGAAAAACCAAAAAAAAAAAAAAAGAAAGCAACCCTGTGTCGGTACCTAAAAATACATTTTGTGGGGCTGGGGATTTAGCTCAGCAGCACAGCGCCTGCTTGGCAAGCTCAAGGTCATGAGTTCGATTCCCGGTACCGGAAAAAAACAAACAAACAAACAAAAAAAAACCATTTTGTGAAATAAAAATCAAGGAATCTATTATACCTGATATCAAGTCAGCACTAATCAACTGTTAGCCATGACAGCCTGTTTTCTAGAAGTCCAGTTTCTCTCTTTTTGGACTGCTTCAGCGTCTGTGTCAGTTACGTACTGCTTTCATGTGCAGTGACCTATGATCATTTCTTTTCATCAATATCTCCCTGTTTTCATCTCTTTGATGATGTCTTCCTAAAGTCATTATCTTCCTATAATGACAGTGTAGGAGTTTGTGGTTTGCAGCTATTATTCTAAATGAGACTTTAATAAGACAGCCACAGCACTGTGGGTAAGTTTTAATTATCCAAACTTGGTTAACTGCCATTGTTTCCCTCATAACCAGTAACCGGTGGGATTCTAATTGGCATGTAAGAGAAAAGAATCATTACCATCTAAAATAGAGCTCTAGGCAAAGTAGCATACACCTATAATCCCAGCTGCTTGTCAGGCTAAGGCAAGTTCACAGCTAGCCTAGGGAATTGACAATGGCTGGTGATGTAACTCAGTGCAAAGGTCTTGTATTCAATCTCTTGTACCATAAAAACAAATAAATAAAATTTAGCTGTGGTAATAAGAGCCTGAGATTATTCTCTCTGTTCCTTCTCTGTAAAATAACACAGGTTAGATATCCCTTTTAGAGTTCTCAGATTTTGGTTTATTTGCATAGTTAACCAGTTGAATGTCCCTAATCTAAAAATTCAAAATCTGAAATACTCCAAAATGCACAACTACTCAAAAAAATTCAGATTATGGATTTCAGATTCTCACATTAGGGATGGTTGATTTGTATAATGCGCTGGTTTTGAATGTGGATTTTCATGGCTTCATAAAATGAAACATAAGTGACATCAAGCATAAAGGAATCAAGGCCTTTGAAGCGTTTTTTAATAATATTTGTTAAACTGTTCTTTAAATTGGAATGTTCTGTATTAAAGAATGAAAGCACATATGTATATAGAAAGATAGCTGGGATAACTGTACTGCTGAAGTCTAATGGTTCATTGAAAGGAACAGTTAATGCCTAATTTTTTTTCTTTTTGACCAATGCTTATATCTGGTAATCCGAACAACTAATTTGAAGACAAAATGCAATATAACAGCCATTGGTGAATTCCTACCTTCTTGTCTAGTGAAACTCTGTATCATTTCTAATGGGTTTTTTTGGTTTTATTTTTTATTCTCTTTAATGGTTAGATCAATCTTCCATTCTTACATCTGATAACCTGAACAGCTTCGTTGAAGATAACAACATGTAATATAACAGCCACTGTTAATTCCTATCATTCTGTTCTGAAACACTCTATCATTTTTATTGTTTTTACTTTGTTTTGTTTTTGTCTATGTCATTGGTATTTTGCTATTGTTCTTTTCTTTTTTATTCTCTTTAAAATAAATAAAATGAAATGGAAAAAAAATGGAAGCACTTTCCCCTTTGGTTTGTGTGGGCCACACTGAGTAAAAAGTAATTGTCTTGGGCTGAATATAAATAAAACGTGATATAGTTAGTATATGTAAATAACAAAACTTCCTCTTAAAAATATTTGTATTATACTATTAAAAGAGGGCAAATGGCCTACAGGTTAGACAGATGTTTTACAAAGTTACCAACTTGTCTTCAGTCACTTTCAGTAAAGCCCTTTTTGAAGAATGTTATATTTTAAAAAATGAATATCTTCTCAGTATATAGCTAATTAATACATAAGTTAATGAGACCTCCTCTTAATCTTGAAGCCATACATCTGTTTATGAGGGCTACACTGAGCTTGACATGCTGGTGGGAAATGCAAGCTCATGAAACAGTAAACTAACACAACTTCTTAAATGAGCAGTGACTTTATACATAAAGCAGAATTGTGCAAATGTGTACAACCAATATATGGATCCTACCGCATGTCCATATTTTTCCCTAGATAACAGGTTTGGTGCTGAATGGGAAATAGGGCCACTGTAAAAAGGAGGAATACAGTACCGCAAATACCTCACAGGCATTTCCAGCAGAAAGGTGCTTTCAATTCACAAAGATACTAAACTATTTTTCCAGTGGCAATATGCAACTTAAACTTCTGATCTATTTCTAGGATACAATAGTTTACAAAATATTATTTGTTAGAATATTAATTTAAAATTAGCTGATCAGACTTATAAATAAATTTATTGTGTTTCTTTCATCTTCCAGATCACAAAGGGGAACTTCCTCGAGGCTGGAACTGGGTTGATGTTGTGAAGGTATATAATGTTCTACTCTAGTCTTCAAAATATATGTAAGGATAGCTGCAATGGGTGTATTGCTGATGTTTGTGGTTTATTGAAAGAAACAGTCAGTGCTTAAAATTTTTTTTTCTTGACCAGTTTTGCATGCTTGAATTTGGTAATCAGAATGACTGATCTGAAAACAACAATATGCAGTATAAATCCATTGTTGAACTCCTACCATCTTGTATGGTAAAGCACTGCATCATTTCCAATGTTTTTTTTTTATTATTATTATTACTTGTTACTGTCTTTGATTGTTTGATCAATCTTACGTTTTGTCTGGTAGACCAAGCAACTTGGTTGAAGATAACAATATGTAATGTAGCAGCCATTGTAAATTCTTATCATTTTGTTTTGAGGTCATGTATCATTTTTGTTGGTTTTGTGTTGTTTTGATTTTGTCTTCATTGTTGTTTTGTGAGTTTTTAAATTTTTAAAATGAAAAAATCATTACAGTTATTGCCATCAAATAATGACATTTATATTTTCCATTCCCCCCACCTCCCGCAACTTGGAATTTCCTGGAATGTCTGTGTACTTTTTTACATTTAGCATGTAAGTACTTTTTAAAAAAATTCTTTGCTTCTTCATACCCTCTGTTTTAGATTCTTTTCTTAAATAATTGAAAATCTGTATAAGTAAGTTATAACTACAATAAAGCATGACTTTGTAAGTACGTGTCAAAAATGACCATGTATAAATATGACTAAATTATGTAGAATATGGGAACTGAAGAAAACTAGTCATGGGAAGAACTTCCTTTTTTTTTTTTTTTTTTTGGTAGAAATCATTCTAAGTTTTAAAGTCTTTGTTAAGGCCTTACCTTAATTGTAGTTGACCATCATGACCAGGAAAGATTTTCTGATTGTGTTATTCAAAATGGTTTCCTCGGGTCTGGGGATTTAGCTCAGCGGCAAAAGCGCCTGCCTGGCAAGCGCAAGGTCATGAGTTCGGTTCCCGGTACCGGAGAAAAACCAAAAAAAAAAAAAAAAAAATGGTTTCCTCTCTATTTTTAATTTTTTTGTTAACCTCTTTTTAATTTTGTTGTACTATCTGTAGTAGTTTTGAAAATACTTAACCAATACTTAACATAGTAAGTTAGTTCATGAAATAGGTTTTACTTACTAGTTAGTACCACAACTGCCATAAGAAGTATTTGTTATCACCCAAGAGTAAAAGGGTTTTAGTGAGGATCCATAAATATGAGTAATTTATAATTAATATATACTTAAAATTTATTTTATAATTGGCCATTTGGTCCATGGTATGCATTTTCTATAGAAACTTTGAAATGATCTTTGTACTTCTAGAATGTTGTACAAAAATATTGCCTGGGTGTAGGATCAAAATAAAGACTTTTTCTCTCCTTCTGGACAAGACGCTGGCCCCATAGAAAGGACTATACACAAAACTTCTCTGGGATTCTGTCATTTACCTAGCCCTTTCCACTGATGGACAGTTCATGTTGTCCTAGGTGTACCTGTATGTAGCTCACAGCTAAATCCTCTTTCTGCAAAAGAGTCTGTGCCCCAGAATTAATGGTTTTCTCACTCATGATGTTTCTTCCCTGATGTAGCATATCTCAGCTGAAAGTGAGAAGAAAATAATCTGGTTGATCTAAAGGGAGAAATAGTGCTCTTCCTTCCCTAGCACAAAAAGTTTGTTTTTAAGGGAGTCCTTGATAATATAAAGAGAATTCCAAGTTTAAAAAAAAAAAAATACATAAAATTAAAATAGCTCAGTAATCTTGGGAAATAAGAGAAAATTATTTTCTTGTGGCGCTGGAGAGAAACCCAGGGCCTCACTCATGCTAGGCAAGAGCTCTACCACTGAGCTATACTCCCAGGCCTGAAGAGATATTTTTAAGGTAGCTACCTAGACATAGCTTGATCTCAGAAACTATTACCCTAAACCAGTGGTTTCCAAGTGTGGTATTTGGCTCCTGGGAAATCCCTAAGACTCTAGTAGGAGGATATGCAAGGCCAAAACTATTTGCATCATAGTACTAAGATGTTGTTTGCTTTTTTTTACTCATTTTCTCCTGAATATACAGTAGTGTTTTTGAGAAGCTCTGCATGACTAGCTGCATGATCGGTTGCGTGAGCTGTGAAGATGCCACACTGATGCTCTACTAAAGCACTGAGAGAGAGAGAGAGAGAGCGCTTGTATATTCTTCTGTTCTCCAGAATTTTTTAAGTTAGTAGGTTTGGGATCCAAAAGTGTGCTCTATTAGCTCAAATTATTCTTAGTACTTTTGTTTTGTTGCCTTCCACAGGACCTGCTTTATTATAGACACAGATTCATGAAATTCCTGTTGAGGTAGATAATAAAGAGATTTGCAAAAATGAAAAACTAGTGCCACTTTTCACATTGTTCTGTTTTTTATAATCCAGTAACATTTACCTTTTAAAAACTGTTATTGGGTTATCATATAATGGGTTTACTGTTATTTATTGCTTTTTTATTAATGAAATATTTCAGTTTTAATCTCAAATCAGTAGAGGTGGACCACCTGTAATCCCAGCACTCAGGAGGCTGACACTATATATATAGTCTCTTCAGAGCTCTCAATTTTTAAAACTGTGAAGAAGTCCGAAATGTTTGCTAACTTCTACCTTAGTAGTTTCTGCTTTCACAGCTTCCCAAATTTTCAGGAGTTAGATGATGATTTCCTGGTGATTAGATGGCTATTCTAATCATAATTATCTTTGTATTGTTTGAGAATTTTACTTGTATTACCCCAAATTTGCCAACTCCTGCCAAAGGTTTCTATCTAAAATAATAATAATACAATTTAAGTTTTTTTAAAATCACATTGTTAGAATTATACTTTAAGAATTTGTTGACTTGTTGAGATACCAAATCTTAAGGGTTTTCTTTTAACCACAATTTAAAAAATCTTTAAAGAATTTGTCGTCCCTTGACTGGGGATATAGCTTAGTGGTAGGGCACTTGCTGCACATGCTTGAAACCCTGGGTTCAATCCCCATCACTGCCCCCCAAAAAGAATTATTGTGTACATTAGAAAACAAAAACAGAAAAATGTTATTGACTATATAAAAGTACCTTCTTTTTGTATATTCTAATTTATTTCTTAAAGTGCTTCAAGGGATATTTATACTTAAGTTGAGGTTATATTTTTAAGCCTGTTTGAAGTAGCTAAACCTAAAATTGGAAGTAGTTATATACTGTATAGGATATAGATCATTAAAATTCACTTTACTTGAACCTTATTAATTTAGTTTTGATATTGAGTGAAAATAATGGTGGGAATGTTATGCTTAAACTTATTAAATATTACTTTTTTTCCAGTTAAGCAAAACTGGCTCCAAAGACGATGACTAGCACATGGAACTTGGTGTAAGGAAAGAGTGTCGTGTAAGAAGTGAACCGGGGTCAACATCTTCCATTACTGTTTTCTGTATTGAGGTGGCTTTTTATAAAACACAGTTTTTGTATGTTTCTTACATAATAAATGTAAGCGGAAAGTTCATGTAGACACCTGGTTGTATTAAATTATTTTCACAAATTTGCCTTAATAGAAGGTGAAAATGTTACTGTGTAGTATACTTTATAAAGCCTGTTGAGCTTTGAAAAATGAACAAATATGAACAAATATGGATGATAATCAGTTAATTTATATGACCTTATTCTCATGGATAGTTTTTTAAGGAGTATGAAGCCCTCTTCGAATTGACAAAGCAGAATATTCGGTCTGTAGTTATTACATAGCATGATTCATATTAATAGGTTTCTTATCCTAAATAAAGTCTTCATCTCTTCTTTTGCTTTAATTACTGAGGCAGAAATTATTTCAAAGAAATTTAAATACCACTATTTGAACTTTATATCATACTCTTTGTAGTTACTTCTTATTTTTCAACAGTGAACTCCTTCTCTTGATTTGGGTCAAGACGTTTGATCACAAGAGCTTTTAATGGTATGTACAATAGGACAGTATAAAAACCAATCTTCCAGATACATTAGAAAACATTTGCATAAACAAGATGTGGTGGTGCAAGTTTATAATCCCAGTCCCCTGGACACTGAGGCAGGAAGATCATAAGTTTGAGGCCAGCCTAGGCTACATAGGGAGAACTGTCTATAAAAAGAGAGAAAAGGACAAAATTGTATAAGTACTATTTCAAACATTTCTCTTTGCTGCATATACTAGTATGGGTGTAAATGATGCCTTAATAATTAATTTTTGTATTGTTGGGGATAATGATTTTAATAAATTCTTATTTATCTGCTCTTGTGTTTTTAATTGTTGGATAACAATTAAATGGGTTCAACATACAACTATATTTCAAATCTTGTTTTTGTGGTGTCTTTTCAAGTCCAATGTATTTATCAGTCTCTGCATCTTTTTAATATACACGGAAGTCTTTCAAATGCTGAACTATTACATGTGCTTTTTAAAGTCATTAATAAAGGAAACTATTGGTATTGTTTTACTAGGAAAAGTTATCAGTGTTTATGTGTGATTTACAGTGACTTTGTGTAGCCTCTCCATTTTAAGAACTTAGAACTTTTGCTGTATACCTGGAAGGGTGGATTGTTAGTATGTCAAGTTGTACCTGTGCAGCTTGTGTCTGACGTTTTAAAGAATAATTAACTTTTAGAGAAGTTACCGCAGGATAAGAGCAATTTGAAATGTGTCCATGGTTTTTAAAATGTAAAGTTTGGCTTCAGTTAAATTGTTTGAAATTGTAAGTATAATTGCAATGAAGAAGTTTAATCTCTTTTAAAAGCTGAATCACATTTGTTTCTTGAATTAGTATTAATATGCCAACTAGAATATGCCAACTTGTTTTCAGGGTTGTATATGTGTGATTTTTGTTATGTTGATTTGTTTGCGCCTTTTTTGAAGAAACCTCTGGTAGTAGGGAAAAACATGTTTTTGTTGTTTTGCTCTTAAGATTCTGAAATTGTTCAGGATTACGGTGGTTGCTAGATTACAAAGAATAATGCTAATTGAATTCCAATGAATTATTTTTACTGTTTTTATATGAAATGTACGAATTTCTGGGGGTGATGGTGGCCGTGGTGCCTCTTAATACCTTGTGTAAAATACTTGAACACTTTCATCAATATTGCCATCATCTGGTCAACACTCCCAGTATATTTTCTCAAAGTCTCTACCTAAAATTGTGTGGAATGATATAACTAATAAGCAATAAAGTCTGAATTACAACAGTTTCTCTTCACGTTTGATTTCCTTTAACTTTAGAGTGAATTGTTGATTTTGTAAAACTGCATAGCTTTGTAGTATGAGATATACCAATCTAATGGGAAACTGTTCAAAGTGTTAAAGATTAAAAAATGTTTTTCAAGTGACCTCAGAAGAAAAGAAAGAAGAAAAATAAAATTAAATGAGAGTTCAACCTGGAGTTCTCAGGATAGCTTTAGTTTTCATAGCTTTGGGATCTCAAGAGACAGAAGATAAAGTCCAGGATCAGCCCAGCACAGGGAATCACACCCTCATGTGCATCTATGCCCAAGCACACACAGAGCATACTTACTGCTGAGTCCCATGCCCCAGGGAAGACCCTGAGAACAGTTCCTATATTTAACTTTGATTCTTGATAGAGAGGTGAAATATAAATATATGCATATATATATTGTCATCGCATTTTAGACCCCCAAAATACTTCACACTTGGATTTTAGCACAAATTCTTCCTAATATGGATACTATTTTTTAAATTTATTTGTACAATTTAGGTATATAAGATGATTACATTCATCATAGGGTTTTTGTACCTGTACATAATATATCTTAATTTGTCTTTAAAAAAAAAATAAGCCCAGCTTGGAGCCTATAACCCCAGTATTCAGGGAAGCTGAGACAGGAGTCTAGCAAGTTGGGCAACTTGGTGATTTAGCGAGACCCTGTCAAGGAGGGAAGAAAGGAAAAGAAAGTCTGGAGATACAGTTCAATGTGAAGACCCTGGTTCAATTCCCAGGACAAAAAAAAAGCCAAACCAAACCTTAGGCAGTACCAAATGGGTAGGGCATGTAGGCAGCCAATAAAGATGAATACAAAATGTTCTCTAGAAGAACCCACCGTAAGCCAGATCTCTAGAGAGGTCCACATATAGTTTATGGAATGTTCATTCACTCAAAATTCACACAATACATATACAAGGCAGGGGGGCTTGCTAAGGGAGAGGAGAAGGTTCAGACAAATAAGCCACAAAGATACAGTGATATCAGACTCTGAAGTATTACATAAGGAAATGGAGTAAGGAACAAAAATCTATTTTAAAAGACATCAGACAGATTGGGAAAAGAACCAAATAGAACTTTTTAAACAAAGAAAAACAATTGCTGAAATTAAAGTTACAGGTAAAGACAATCACTTTGTGATATACTTCACCAAGGCTGAAGTAGATAAATACCCTTTGGAATGAAATTGGTACTAACTCTGCATTTTGGATTTTCTTTTTGATTGCAGCATGAGAATCTGTCATCCCACATCATTTCTCCACAGGTTGCTACTTGTTCAGTTGGTTGGGTGATTCTAGCCTTCACCAGTCTGCAGGGTGCTCCAGGTAAGGCCAGCCCTGGACTTTGTTAGGAAACACAGCATGTATGTTAGGACTTGGCCATGTTTGCAGAGGGCTGTCTGGTAATTTAAAAATAATAAATTTTTAAATCATGCTATGTAATGACAATAGAAATTTTGTTTTACTGTTGAATATTCCTCAGAGTAAAAATAGAACAAGAATGGTTATCTCGTAATGTATGATTCAGAATTGCACTTTTTTCAGAGTGTTTTTCTGCAGTTTGTGATCCTTTAGTGAGGAAAATAAAGGGCTTTACTAGCATTTTTTAATACAATGGAAAAGAATTGAACAGGCTTTACTAGCATTTTTTAATAGAATGGAAAAGAATTGAACCAGCACTACATTACTTTTTACTAGGGAGTGTCTTTTCTTGTGAAGACTTGTTTGGATTTGGATATGTAGGTATGGATACTGAGTTATTATGTAAAATTTATTAGTGAGTAGTGGTGAAAAAAGTTTGAAAGCCACTGATCAGAACAAAAGATAGTACCAGGCATGATGACACATGCCTGTAATCCCAGCACTCAGGAGCCTGAGGCAGGACGATCGTTGCAAGTTCGAGACCAGCCTGGGCTACAAAGTGAGCTCAAGGCCAGCTTGAACTGCATAGTGAGACCGTCTGAAAAAGACAAAAAGAAAAAAAAAAAAAAACCACAAACATTTATATGAAAATTCTTAATTTTTTAAAAAACAAAAAAGGTGACTTTCAAAGTGCTAAGAACTTTTTTTTATCATTGATACATTGTTCCTAAAGACTGATTAAGTAAGCCACATCTCACTGTTTGAGAAGAGCAAGTTTTTTTACTTAAAGGAGGATCTTTAACTTTGAACAGTGAATTCTTACATAATGACTTCTACTTATAAAAACAGCCGAAGAGAACTTGAATAAAGAGAATTTTAATAGCTTTAATTTCTTGCTGAAAAAAATGAGAACATGTGTTTAGTTTTCTTACCATTTCTAGAGGAATCATTTGCTTGCTGAGTTTCCTGTATAAATCTAGTTTCCAAAATAAGTTGTTTCCATAGGCTATTTTTAGTGATAAAATGGACAGGAAATGTTCTCACCCCTGCCCATTTTCCTTTTGTTACTGCTGGCACCTGGGAAGTTGGACATGCTCTTACAAGTTGCAGCCCTTGGGAGCTATAATGTGAGATTTTCAGTAGCTTTCACAAGGATTTGGCCTGTTAGGAAAGTAAGTATGCTGATATTTATAACCCAAATTCCATGAACTCTCAGTTATCATGGAGATTTTAAACAAAATAACTAAGACTCATCAATAACTAAGACGCCAAATAACTAAGACACATCAATTTTAAACAAAATAAGAAGCACGGAACCGTCTCTGTGCTCAGTTCTTTCTCCTTTCATTAATAACAGAAAATGCAACTTAGGAAAAGAGTCAAGTACGGTGGGGGAGGAGAGATGCAGATTAAAAACATTTTGATTCAGAATTAGGTGATAAATTAACCTGTGGGCCAGGGATGTAGCTCAGCGGCACAAGCGCCTGCCTGGCAAGCGCAAGGTCCTGATTTCGATTCCTGGTACCAAAAAAAAAAAAAAAAAAAGATAAAGAAATTAACCTGTGGCTATAGCTCACTGAGGCCCTGTGTCCAATCTCCAGCACCAATAAATAAATAAATAAATAAACAAGTTTTACTATTACAACAATCTGTAGCGTCTAGAGAGACAAGGAAGGGTTTTCATTGTAGGTGGATGTGGAATTACAAGAGGCTGAGTCTTACTGTAGGCTGAAATTTTCCTTTTAAACACTCCAGCATTTCATTCTTGTACTCCCACTGCAAGGTGAAGCTGAATGACTGAATACTGTGTTCGTTTTTACAGAGGACAAAAGGTTTTCTGAGTTGCTGGTGATTTATGTCATTTGTGAGATTTGGACCCCTGTGACCTAGGGAAATTTTCTCTCTCAGACCCCAGTAGAAGCAGGTAATTCCCACTTTCTTTCATTGTCAATTTTGTATTCTTAAAAAACAGCATTTTTCAAATGCTTCTCCAGTACCATGATTTTTTTAAACATAAAAGTGAAAGAAATTAAAAATTGTTAAAGCCTCTTCTTTTTCTTTTTTTTTTTTTGGTTTTTCTCCGGTACCGGGAACTGAACTCACGACCTTGTGCTTGCCAGGCAGGCGCTTTGCCGCTGAGCTAAATCCCCAGCCCCCGCCTCTTCTTTTTCTAAAAGTGACTAAAACTAGAGTTTGTTATTTTGCTATTTAATTTGATAAATACTAGATATTCCTTCCTTTCCAGGGGCAGCTCAAAAATTAAATTTTAAGTTGACACATTTTAATTGTTTTGTTTAAAATCCCCATAATAACTGAGAGGTCATGGAATTTGGGTTATAAATGTCTGTCTGCTAAAAGGAAAGCCTAATTCCTACTACATGTTGACAAGTGCCATGTGTGTAATTTCTTTCCTTTTTGGGGGGGTGTACCAGGAATCAAACTCATGACCTTGTGCCTGCCAGGCAGGCACTATGCTGCTGGGGTATATCCCCGGCCCCTCATGTGTGCCACTTTCAAGTTTCTACATTTTTTTTCCATATATAAACTTTAACTCCTTACTGATTGCATAGGTTTAGAAGTTGTTCTACAAGACTTTTCATATAAAAGGAGTGTCTTCTCAGGCACACCACTCATATCCCAATTCCACCCAACAAAGATAGCTACTTTTTTGCTTAAACGGACTGAGAAGGCTGAGGTCTGTGTCTGGGAGCTCCTCTCCTGTTGCTCTCTGCCTCTTTCTCCTTGTGGCCCTGTTCTGGATGTTTCCTTTGCTTGGGACACTCCCCCTGCTAGTTACATGGGGAACTCCCCTCCAGATCTGTGCTCCAAATCTTGCTTTTCACTGTGTGCAAGGCTGAAAGCCTGCAGAAGGTTTTGAGCAGAGCTGTGAGGTGAAGCTGACTTAGTCTGAGCAGTTTATTCTGATTTCTGTGTTGAGAAGAGACCAAAGAAAGGCAGGAGACTCCTAATCCAGAAAGCAGGTGAAAAATAATGTCTTGAGGGAGTTAGAGGTGGGAGAGAAGCTGCAGCCTGTGGATCTCTGTGCAGGAACTGCTCCAGGGCTTGCTGAGGGACAAACTGAGGGGTGTGGGGGAAAGCAGCAGCAAAGATGACTCCAGTTCTTTCGATCTGAGTGGCTGGAAAGAAATGATAAGACATTCTCCTGTAAAAATTACCCTATAAATTTAATGCCAGTAAAATGCCACTGGATTTTTAAAAGAAAAACTGGTTCCAAAGTTCAAGGAAACCAAATATACAAAACAGCCAGGAAAACACTTAACACGAAGAGTGTGAAGTGAGGTTATTCCTGCCACTTAGTAAAGCATATTTTAAGAACAAGAATTAAAGTGATGTGCTAGTACCTGTTCAGATCAATGAAATGGACTAGAACCCAGAGATAGGCCTCCTTATATGTGGAAATCTAATCGATACCTTTAAAAAGTGCTTTTTTGTTTTTAGAGCCAGCATCTGATTGTGTAGCCCAGGCTGGCCTCAGACTTGCAGTGATCCTCCTAACTCAGCCTCCCAGGTACTAGGATTACAGGCATTCACCACCACGCCCAGCTTAGAAAGTGTTTCTTAAGTAAATGGTAGAAGACAACTGGATAGG